TGCTGCGGCATACTTAAATGATGTGGTCATCCATAGTGAAGATTGAGACTCACATTTACCGAAAGTCCAGGCAGTACTAGATTCTATCTGGAAAGTGGGGTTTACAGCCAATCCAAAAAAAATGTACCATTGGGCTAGAGGAAGCCAAGTATCTGGGATATACCATTGGGAGAGGTCTGATAAAGCCCCAGGTCAACAAAGTTGAAGCTATACAAAGCTGGCCACACCCCACCAACAAGAAGCAGGTACGAGCGTTTTTGGGAATTGATGGTTATTACCGGCGGTTTTTTTCCTCATTTTTTTGCCTCACAGGCTGCACCCCTGACAAATTTGACAAAAGGGAAGAAGTCTGTCATGGTCAAATGGACCCCTGAAGCAGAAGCAGCTTTTGAGGCCTTATGTAGACAGCCAGTGTTGTACTCCCCTGATTTTTAAGGGATTTTGTGGTCCAGACTGATGCATCAGATGTTAGGTTAGGAGCCATGTTGTCTCAAGTTTTCAAAGGGGAGGAACACCCCGTCATTTACCTCAGCTGGAAATTAAAACCCCATGAAGAAAATTATGCCACTATTGAGAAAGAATGCTTAGCAATAAAGTGGGCTCTAGATTCTCTCTGCTACTATCTCTTGGGTAGACAATTTGAACTAGTAACAGATCATGCTCTCTTAACCTGGATGGCACAGAACAAAGAGACCAATAGGAGAGTGAATAGGTGGTCCTGACCCTTCAAGAATTTAGTTTCAGCATACAGCACAGCCCCGGAGCTAGAATGGGGAATGCAGATGCCCTGTCCCGAGTGCACGCATGCTTAGCAACCTGTGTTCCAACCCCAAGGTTGAAACAAGGGGGGGCGATGTGACAGGAGGTCAGGAAGAACTAAGTGATGTGTCCACGATGGGAGGTATATTTGTCCCAGGTTCATGCTCTACACAGACTGTTTCTCCCTTGGTGCTGTGTAGTCAGTCTGTTTGGCTCACTGATTATTTCATTAGCTCAGCTGTAGTAGGTTAAGGGCTCTGGGCTCTATAAAACTCCCAGGCTGCTTAGAGGGGATGCTCCAACCTGGAACCAGTTTGCTGTGCAGGACAGACTGGAGTGCAACCAAACTATACTGCGGTGAGAGAAAATCTGTGTGATCTTGGACTGGGAGACACTCTGTGTGAACCCCCTGTGTCTGAGCAGCGATAGGCTTTCTCTAGACAGGTAGATAGTAACCTGTGTTTGTAGTTAGATGCCCAGTGTGGCAAGGCTTTATTTTCTGTTTGTTTATTTTTGCTGTTTTGACTATATGCACCTTGTGTTGACCAGACTTGCAAATAAAGCACAACTTTATTCACCAAGATCCTGCTGTCGTGCTGAGCCTCTTTCACCATGCTCTGACTCATCCAGGGGGTCAAGCACAACCCGCTACTGGGCTAATCCCTCACAATATATATATAATTATTATGTGTGTACAATTTATTATATATAGATATATATATATATATATATATATATTATTTACTATATATTTTTTATAAGCTGAGTTGAGGTTTATGAGGTTTAGGGTTAGCATGGGTGTATTGTATATAGATAAGAAGAAAACTGCAATAATAATGGTAGTTGGAGGATAGAATGTATTCTCAGAAGATTACTGACCAGAAATACTAAAGAAGCCACATGTAGCGATAAGGAATTCAGATCTCCAAACCAAGGGTAAAATAATAATTTGTTGTCCAGGTATGTCTATAGCAGGGGCGGACTGACAACTCATGGGGCAATAGGGGATCATGGGGCCCCTGTGTCCTTGCCCAAACTCAAAAAAGCCTATGAAAAAGGTACCAGGGGCATTTCATGGGGCCCGCTACTGACCCCGGGCCTTTGGGCAGTGCCCGAGTTTCCAAATGGTCAGTCCGCCCCTGGTCTATAGTTGAACAAATGTTGGTATATTTCAAAGATGAATAAAAATATTTCTACTTTATCACACACTAGCTATAATGGGGATGTTTGATTTTCATTCTTGAGGACTTTGGCCTAATTTTCAGAATATCCAAAAGTTTGTAAACTACCAGATACAATTCTTTCAGTATCATTGCTATATCTCTATTTGTAAAGCTTGTCTAAAGGGTGATAGCTTTACTTTCAATTTATTCTTCAGAAAGCAGTAATGTAATCTGTGCATCTAATAAGGCACTCTGCTTGCTGCTTCTATTTCTAGCTACCCGCAACATACAGTAACACACTGTAAACCTTTTTCTTAATAAATCAGAAGAGGCGTTGACTCACATTTCTAATTCCACAGATTATAATTATATCAAGAATCTAAGTAGTTATAAACTGTGAAGCAAAAGAAGAGCAAATACAAATACCAAATTATGCTGATTTATTGTCCAGATAAAGGTGCAAACACAAAAATGGGTTTTGATCAACAACAAGGAGAAGCATCTTTCAGGTGAAATTGCTACCATTTTGGACGGAAAAAACAAATCATTTATATTTCAGGTGCCCCTTTCAAATTATTATAGAAGCAATTTGTGTGCTACTTGCTTCTTATTTCAGAACCACACAGATGTCGATAGTGGGGTTAGTGTTGAGATGGATAGCTGCATAATAACATTTTCGGATGAATGTTAAATATAGTGAGGGTTTGTTGCTCACTGACATTCTTGTAGATAATTTCAGTATATGTTGTTTCGGGGTTTTTTTTATTTCATTAAAGAATAAGTTCATCTTTTAACAAAAATAACAAATTCACACTTTTTTGCAGGTTGGAACTTCTAGTTTTCCCATTCACATAAAACTGTTAAAGAGTGACACGGCCAGGTGGGCGAAGCCCTGCACAGTCACTTTTGAAAAAAATGTGACATTTAGAGGGTAGAAGAACCTCTGCTAGCTGTCAAACCAAGGGATTGGGGGGGGGGGGGGGTTCTTTTGTAAAAACATGATACATAGTGAATATGAGTGGAAAAGAACAAACAAGGGCGCACTCTCATCATGCATTACTGTGGTATAACACGTATTTATTAAATGAAAAGAGAATATATACTCACAAACCAACGTGATAAAAGGCAGTAAAAAGTGGTCCACAAGGACAGTCACAATGCATCTGTGTCTACTGGTGCAGATAGGCTAACGCGATTCCCCAATCTTAAAAGGGCAGCACCTCTTCGGTTGGCATTTTTGGCATCGCCTTGGTTGTTGAAGACTGGAGCGCTGGTTTCGTTCGTTCATCTTTTACAGTGAATATGAGTGTAACATGTCACATGTTACAAAAGGTGAATCTATTCTTTAAATCCAATATTTACTTCACTGACATATGTCAGGTAGCTTTAAAGTGGTTGTAAACCTCAGACATGAAATATGGACAAAGCATAGCTCTCTATAGCGTGTGCTTGTCTTACCCAGAGCACTAGGTGTCATTTCTGTGTGCTGCCTCGTTCCTCTGCTATCAGCATGAATCACTTCAGACTGCTTCTCCAGACATCAAGAGATAACAAGGTAACAAGGGAGGGATCTCCAGCACACAGCCTGTGAATGACATTCTCAGCTCTTTTCCTATGTGCTGTGTTAAAGGGAGTGTGTCCCTTCTCTCCAATCAGCTCTCAGCTCTCTTCACTGAGCTCAGTAGAGTGTAAATTCAGCTCCTTGCCCCCTGCTTTCTGGAAGTGCATACAAGCTGTATAAATTCTGCACCCAGAAGAGAGGGCTGCAGATAAAAAGTTGCAACTTATGAAGGAGGATTTATTTCATCTCTATGTATCACCTGTAGTTCAATCTAGTCATTGCAGTTTTAATAGTTTACCCCTAAATCATATGTTTTTCTATAATGGGTTTATAGAGGTGGGGTGAGATGAAGAGCAAAAAGTCCCTTTAAGAATGTATATATTAATTTATATAAGAAATTACATATTAACATGCAAAAACACACATTTTAAAATGTACATTTGACAAGTTTCTTAATCTGAGTCCTTAAAACCTCACACTTGATACATTTTCTGAAAGTAATGAACCTGTAGAAAACAAAGATGGTATGTCACATGATATTTGCACAAAAGTTTTTCATCTTCATGTAAAGCTTATTTTAGTGCCCACAAGCTCTATGTAATTCACAATGTTTGGAAAATGTAAAAGATTAAATTGAAACCAAATATGTCAAGCCTTAAAATTATGTGTGAAAAAATTACGATACTCAAACATGTCCATAGGAAACACTTTAAAAAGCTTTACAGCTGATCAATGTAAAGTTACTAAAAATATTGCCAATATAATTATTCCTCTCACTCCAGCTATATATATTATGTATTGTGCAGTTGTCATTTACATATACCTCTTAGCCCTGAGTTTATTGTGTAAGCAGGATGGGGTTTATTCAATTTTGTCTACCCTTCACTACTTTCAAACAAACTGACTACTCAATTTGTTTGCATTCCTGGTCCCTGCCAGCATCTGAAAGTTGCAAACCTGGAAATTTTCAGAGAAGAGCATGTCCAGGTTTACAAAAAAAGAAAGGATCGATGAACAGAGGCTCACTGATCCTTCTCTGCTCTACCATTCTAAATACTGCTCATTCATACTGAATTCCAGTTGAGAGTTACTAGGGCCTGGAATTCAATGACAAAACTGCTAACCCAAGTAATGCTCAGGGTTAGCCATTTTCCATTTTTACTTAAAATCTATTCTACATATTTTTGATGATTGATAACTGTTCTGTTATTTCTGGAGGCATTGTTGGCTGTCTCTGGTCACTTGGGGGGGGGGGGGGGGGCACACTGTTCAGGCTGGCATCATTTGTTTTTATTGTTGGCTGGCTTTATGATTACATTATCCTTACAAATGTAAGTGATATACATTAATTTGTGATCTTTTGGTTTTATTGCTTTGGATACACTGAGTGTATTTGTTTGCACATATATACATATACATTATATTACCAAAAGTATTGGGGCACCCCTTCATATCAATGGATTCAGGTGTTCCAATCACATCCATGGCCACAGGTGTATAAAATCAAGCACCTAGGCATGCAGACTGCTTCTACAAACATTTGTGAAAGAATAGGTTGTTCTCAGGAGCTCAGTGAATTCAAGTGTGGTACCATGATAAGTTGTCACCTGTGTAATAAGTCCATCCGTGAAATTTCCTTGCTACTAAATATTCCACAGTCAACTGTTAGTGGTATTATAACAAAGTGGAAGCAACTGGGAAAAACAGCAACTCAGCCACGTAAAATGACAGAGTGGGGGTCAGCATATGCTGAAGTGCACAGTGCACAGAAATTACCAACTGTCTGCAGAGTCAATAGTTAAAGACCTCCAAACTTCGTGTGGCCTTCAGATACCACAACAGTGCATAGAGAGCTTCATGGAATGGGTTTCCATGACCGAGCAGCTGCATACAAGCCTTACATCACCAAGTGCAATGCAAAGCGCGTTCTCTGGAGTGACCAATGAAGCTTCTCTGTCTGGCAATCCGATGTACATGTCTGGGTTTTGTGGGATACCAGGAGAACGGTATTTGCCTGACTACACTGTGCCAAGTGTAAAGTTTGGCGGAGGGGGGATTATGGTGTGGGGTTGTTTTTCAGGGGTTAGGCTTGGCCCCTTAGTTCCAGTGAGGGGAAATCCTAAGGCATCAGCATACCAAGACATTTTGGACAATTTCATGCTCCCAACTTTGTGGGAACAGTTTGGGGATGGCCCCTTCCTATTCCAACATGACTGCACACCAGTGCACAAAGCAAGGTCCTCCCCCCTCCTAACACCTATGCTGACTAAGAAAATTTACAGTTGTGTTCAAAATAATAGCAGTCAGACATCGCTAACCTGAACAATCACTGTTTTTGGTAGAAATGATATTTCTACATGGCAAATAATTTACTAGCAGGTGTAGTAGAGTAATAGAAATCCAACAGACCCAACAGTCATGACATGCATGCTCTTGATTCTGTGTAATTGAATCACTAATTGAAAGGGGCATGTTCAAAATAATAGCAGTGTGGAGTTCTATTAGTGAGGTCATTCATTCTTTGAAAAACAGGTGACAATTATTGCCCTTATTTAAGGAATGAAGGCAGCAAATGTTGTACATGCTGGTTACAGTACATTTCTCTCTGAAATTCTGAGGAAAATGGGTCGTTCCAGACATTGTTCAGAAGAACAGCGTACCTTGACTAAAAAGTTGATTGGAGAGGGGAAAACATATAACGAAGTGCAGAAAATGATAGGCTGCTCAGCTAAAATGATCGCAAATGCTTTAAAATGGCAACCAAAACCTGAAAGACGTGGAAGAAAGCGAAAAACTACCATTCGAATGGATAGAAGAATAGCCAAAATGGCAACAATCAGCTCCAGGAAGATCAAAGAAGGTCTAAAGTTACCTGTGAGTACTGTTACAATTAGAAGACGTCGATGTGAAACCAAGCTATCTGCAAGAAGCCCCCGCAAAGTCCCACTGTTGAAAAAAAGACATGTGCTGAAGAGGTTACAAATTGCCAAAGAGCACATTGACTGGCCTAAAGAGAAATGGCGCAACATTTTGTGGGACTGATGAAAGTAAGATTGTTCTTTTTGGGTCTAGTGGCCGGAGACAGTTTGTCAGACGACCCCCAAACACTGAATTCAAGCCACAGTACACTGTGAAGACAGTGAAGCATGGTTGTGCAAGCGTCATGTGGATGTTTCTCATACTACGGTGTTGGGCCTATTTATCGCATACCAGGGATCATGGATCAGTTTGAATACATCAGAATACTTGAAGAGATCATGCTGCCTTATGCTGAAGAGGAAATGCCCTTGAAATTGGTGTTCCAACAAGACAATGACCCCAAACACACCAGTAAACGTGCAACATCTTGGTTCCAGACCAACATGATTGACGTTTTGGAGTGGCCAGCCAATCCCCGGATCTTAATCCAATAGAAAACTTGTGGGGTGACATCAAAAATGCAGTTTCTGAGGCAAAACCAAGAAATAGAGAAGAACTGTGGAATGTAGTCCAATCATCCTGGGCTGGAATACCTGTTCACAGGTGCCAGAAGTTGGTTGACTCCATGCAACACAGATGTACAGCAGTTCTCAGAAACAGTGGTTATGCAACTAAATATTAATTGATTCAAAGGAAAGCAAAATCTTCAAACATTTTTCAGTTTATATAGTGAATGTTTGAGTTTGTAAAGAAGAATACAAAACACTGCTATTTTTTTTGAACAGTCTAATCTTCACTTTTCTTTAATTTTTTTAGAGGAACAACACAAATTTGAATATATTTTTCTTCATGTTTTGATTTGGAATAGAATGTGTAGTGTTCCCAATGCATTTGTGTGTATGGAAATAAAAGCTATTAGAAGCATTTTGAGCTTTATTCACTTTTTTTCAACACACTGCTATTATTTTGAACACAACTGTATATACTTATCTATTTTTAGCCCACTCTGGTCCAGTCAGGTGAGAAAGTCTCCATGTGCATGGTCACTTTTGGAGGACAGAGGGTGGCACTGAAGAGAACTCAAACTGCAACAAAGGGTAATAGTATTATGAGATATTACCATATACGAGCTGAATCTCTGACTTTATATGATGTACCTCCACACAGGTGTACTTCAAAAACATCAATTTTCTTAATTCAGACAGCTACAAGATCAGACCACCTCAATAAGCAGAGCTGTATGTTAAACGCACTGCTATGTTGCAGCATGATGTTATGTAACAAACCATTTTGCAGTGCTTTAAGATACATTGTCCAAATCCTATAAATGGCCTCACTTTCTAATGTTTCTAAAAAGGTCTTCACTAAGATGTATAAAATGTATTTGAAAAAGAAAGACTAGATGTCAGTATTCTTACAGCCATAATTATAGTGTGCAGATATTAAAACTTCTTCCTCAAGCTATGACATTATTAACAATGTAACACATGGAATGTGGGAGTGTAGAACTGTAGAACACAGGCCTGTCATGGTAAATCCTAAAGGTATGGAAAAAGCAGTGAATAAACAGAATGAATAATGACTGTAGGAATGGTTAGTAAGTATAGCATTTAAAAAATGCTGTGAAAAATGGGAAATGGGAAACCTTAAAAATCCCTGGACCAAATAAAATATTAGGATTAAAGAAAGACCATTTTCAGTTTATGTAAACCATGTCTAAAGGCAAAATCAGACATTGAATATATTGCAGCTTAACGGTCCTTAAATGTGGTGGCTGTGTTAGTTTTTTTTTAAAACCTTTTTTATTTATTTTTACCTGGCCTAATCAGCAATGCACTTCATGTTTTTAAGGTAGCTTTAGGGTGAGCAACAGAGCCAGCCTTGGACCATTGTCAATCTGGGGGAGAGGGTAGATGAACTAGCTGATTTAGATCAACGTGACTAACAAAGTTAAACTCCAGCTAACAGTTTAATTTTTTTACATTGTGCTCAGGAGAAACCACCACTAGATTAGCTCCTCTTCACAGGTAAAATGTTTTAAACATTTACAGCAACAGTTTTATTTTCTTTCAGGATAAAAGCTTTATATACCTAAATAAAAGCTAACCACTGTAAGCACCCCTATCAGTGTTATATAGTTTGTATCAACCATTTAAATGCCACTTTTGCTGGACAGCTTGATCTGCTAAAGTTTGTTTAAAAATAAAAATGCCAGCCTTTCTGGCTTGATCACCAGATGAAAATGAAATATTAAAAAGAAAAAAAAAAAGATAACTAATTGAATCGCTGCATTTAAGGATTGGTAAGTTGCAATATATTACTTTTTTTTTAGTTTAAAAAACATTTAAACAGCCACTTTTACCAAGCTTTCTTTCTGGTACCACACTACCTCAAGCCCTCACCCCTTTACCCAGCTAAGCTACTAAATAAACATACTATCTACATCAATACTCAATGTCTCACACTAAGTATATATAGAGAGCGCAAGAGAGAGAGATAAATAAATAGATAGATGTATATATATATTTAGTGTGAGACATTAAAAAAAAATATATATATATATATATATATATATATATATATATATATATATATATAGACTGCTCAAAAAATGAAAGAAACACTTTGAAAACACATCAGATCTCAATGGGGAAAAATATCATGCTAGACATCTATACTGATATGGACTGGGTAAGATAAGGGTGCCCCATCATTTGATGGAAATGAAAATTATCAGCCTACAGAGGACTGAATTCAAAGACACCCTGAAAATCAAAGTGAAAACAGGCTAGTCCATTTTGCTGCAATTTCATTGCAGCAATTCAGAATGGTACTCAGTAGTTTGTATGGCCCCCATGTGCTATTATGCATGCCTGACAATATTGGGGCATGCTCCTAATGAGACGACGGATGGTGTCCTGGGGTATTTCTTCCCAGGTCTGTACCAGGGCATCAGTGAGCTCCTGGACAGTCTGAGGTGCAACCTGGTGGCGTCAGATGGACCGAAACATGATATCCTAGAGGTGTTCTATTGGATTTAGGTCAGGTGTGGGGGTTATTCAATGGTATCAATTTCTTCATCCTCCAGAAACTGCCTGCATACCCTCTCCACATGAAGCATTGTTATGCACCAGGAGGAACCCAGGACCCACTGCACCAGTGTAGGCTCTGACAATGGGTCCAAGGGTTTTATCCCGATACCTAATTGCAGTCAGGGTGCCATTGTCTAGCCTATAGAGGTCTGTGAGTCCCTCCATGGATATGCCTCCCCAGACTATCACTGACCCACCACCAAAATGGTCATGCTGAAGATGTTACAGGTAGCATAATGATCTCCACGGCTTTTCCAGACCCTTTCATGTCTCTCACATGTGCTCAGGGTGAACCTGCACTCATCTGTGAACTTTGAAAAACACATGGCGCCAGTGGCGGACTGTCCAATTCTGGTTTTCAATGGCAAATGCCAATCGGGCTCTATGGTGCCGGGCAGTGAGCACAGGGCCCACTAGAGGACATTGAGCCCTCATGAAGTCTGTTTCTGATTGTTTGGTCAGAGACATTCACACCAGTGGTCTGCTGGAAGTCATTTTGTAGGGTCCTGTCAGTGCTCATCCTAATCCTCCTTGCACAAAGGAGCAGATAACGGTCCTGCTGATGGGTTAAGGACCTTCTACGGCCATGTTCAGCTCTCCTAGAGTAACTGCCTATCTCCTGGTATCTCCTCCATGCTGTTGAGATTGTGCAGATATATACAGTATCTCACAGAAAAGAGTACACCCCTCACATTTTTGTAAATATTTTATTATATCTTTTCATGTGACAACACGGAAGAAATTCCACTTTGCTACAATGTAAAGTAGTGAGTGTACAGCTTGTATGACAGTGTAAATTTGCTGTCCCCTCAAAATAACTCAACACACAGCCATTAATGTCTAAACCGCTGGCAACAAAAGTGAGTACATCCCTAAGTGAAAAT